CACTCCAGAGCGGAAAAATTAATTTCCTAGGGAACATCAGGAGCAGCAGGCAGTGAGACCCATTGTGTTACTGTCCCCACCTTGGGAGCAACAGCTCTTTTCCTCTTCAGCACTAGAGCTGCAAGTATCTTGTTAGCGTCACGTGAAATTAACAAGTCCCTTCCAGCCTGGCAGAGGTGAAGCTGAAAAATTACTCAGTGGTGTGGGTGGGCAAGAATGGGGAGGAGCAGGGCAGAAGGGAAGAGAGGATAAGCCCCAACCTCACACCCTGGCTGGAGCGGAGCAGGGTAAGCCCCGAGGGGATGGGTCTGGTTGCAAAGTGGGTGAGTGGACGATGAGGACCCACCTGTGGCTAAACTCCTGTTCCCAACACAGAATTTTTCTTTAAAATTAATCCTGTGGATAAATTCACACACACACTTCACAGGAAGGGATTTCCATTTTCTGCTCAGCAGAATACAACAACAGCTTTGATTGTATCAATATTTCACTGTGCTCTCCAATGACTATTGATTACACTTAATACCCATTTCACTGAACCATCTGTAGCAAATTCTATTTGGAACAGTAATATGCATTGAATAAACTTTTTTTAGTTATAAAAAACAAAGATTCTGACTATTAAATGAATAACTGGGATCTTTCAGGTACCCCAAAAGGAAGATTTGGATATAGCATGAAACACTGAAACTTATGATCAATTTTTAATTAAAATATCAACCAAAAAAACCTTCATAGAAAAACACATACTGTTTTGATTAGAATAAGGAAGTTGTATGAGAATCAGGGTCTTTTCCACCTAACTACAAAGATTCTGACTATTAAATGAATAACTGGGATCTTTCAGGTACCCCAAAAGGAAGATTTGGATATAGCATGAAACACTGAAACTTATGATCAATTTTTAATTAAAATATCAACCAAAAAAACCTTCATAGAAAAACACATACTGTTTTGATTAGAATAAGGAAGTTGTATGAGAATCAGGGTCTTTTCCACCTAACTCTAGCTCCCCGTCCCCCCCCCCCCAGATGGTAGGAAGGAGTGTGTTCACATAGTTATGAAATTTTTTAAAAAATATTACTGGGTCACCTATTACCACTGGCTACGTCTACACTGGCCACAATTTCCGGAAAAGGGATGCAAATCAGGTAAGTCAGGATAGGGAAATCCGCGGGGGATTTAAATATCCCCCGCGGATTTAAATAAACATGTCCGCCGCTTTTTTTCCGGCTTGGGGAAAAGCCGGAAAAAAAGCGTCTAGACTGGCGCGATCCTCCGGAATAAAGCCCTTTTCCAGAGGATCTCTTATTCCTACTTCGAAGTAGATTTGCATCCCTTTTCTGGAAATTGTGGCCAGTGTAGACGTAGCCCCTATCTTGTACGTAACCCGAGTACTGCCTGTATCCACATCAAGCATTTAATATCTAGCACCTTTCTATTACTCTCTAAACTGACAGTAAATATTCTTTCTAATCTCAGTAGGGTTTGGTTGTCATGCACTGGGAAATCTATTAATTCTGTCTCAGAACAAATTAATCTATCATTTTTAAAGAGACAGAGAAAGCTAACGCTTGAGATCTTTCCTCCAATACAGTGCTACAGAAGGACTTGCAACAGACTTGCAGAAGTACAGCAGTTACACATTTATACAAATGGCCGCATTTTAACATCCCCTAAAAACAGTATAGTGAATTGATATACATCTTTACAAAGAACATTCCTAATATAAATATGTCCATAAATGACATGCTAGGAAAATAATTTGATTAGACAAATTACCCCAGAGAAAAGGAGTTTGACCACATACTTTGTGTAATGCTGTTGGAAGCAGTGACAGTTGATCTATTCAGCTGAAATTTGTTTGCTGACAATGCTGGAGGAATATATGATGTTTTGTCTTTTATCAAAGCTGCACCATCTGCCTGGTAGGGAGAAGACACTTCACGAAGCTTCTTTACTGAAATTTTAACTCTTTTTTTACTGCAGTCAGTAGCTGCTGTCCAAGTGCCAGTGTGTTTTTCTTTTGTGTGGAGACTAGTGGAGCGGATAAGTACGTCGCCAGCTGTGACACTAGCCATAGAGTCCAGGCTGATACTGGAATTACTTTCCCCCTCCATGAAGAGCCCACAATGCAGCTTTCAACCCTCAATCAACCTATTAATGGAATTTAATAACATGATTATCAAATTAAAAGTGGCAGTTTATTCATGACCATGCATTTACAGTATTATGGATGGGGCACCCACATCACAATAACTAGGATTAAAGAAATAAGAACTGAGGTGGAGGAGAGCAGTGTGAGAGATATTTACCAGGCTGTCAGGCTCTGACAAATTACCACGCGATCTAAGCCAATATATGCAACTAGTTACCTCCTGCGTCTCAGCCCTCGCCGTTTTACTACGGGAGGGAGCAGGGACTATCTATCCCAACTGGCTCCGATATGCCTAAAGCCACCGTCATTTGGTGCAGCGCCAACCTGCAGCAATAGCGATAAAGTGAGAACAGGATGCAACTTATCAGGCTCTGACAAATTACCACGCGATCTAAGCCAATATATGCAACTAGTTACCTCCTGCGTCTCAGCCCTCGCCGTTTTACTACGGGAGGGAGCAGGGACTATCTATCCCAACTGGCTCCGATATGCCTAAAGCCACCGTCATTTGGTGCAGCGCCAACCTGCAGCAATAGCGATAAAGTGAGAACAGGATGCAACTTACATGTTGAGAATTGGGACGCCCTTCTCCCCACGCCAGGGCGCAAATTCCCGCGCATGTCCCCCCCCAACTGCTCC